GCCCTTCAGGTATATGAATACTGTTATCAAATCCCCCATCAGTCATCTTTTCTCTAGGCTAAATAACCCTAGTTCTTTTAGCCTGTCACCATAAGTCTTGCCTCCCAGGCCCTTAATCATTTTTGTTGCACTGCACTGGCCTCTCCAAACTATCCACATGCTTCTTGAAGTGTAGGTCCCCTAACTGGACACAATGGGCATTTATACACATACTTTTTGTCCCATAATTCACTGGAGATCCACCACTTCAGAGCAGATGTGATTAATTGAGTCTGCTCTGAATGCAAGATCATGAGAATTGTGCTGTACCACATACAGTTGTATAAGTGGTGAAAAGTGTGTTAGGGTGCAGAAAATGGCAGCGGTGTGCTTTTGAACTAAAACACCTTCTATGTGTTTTAGTTCAAAAGCATGCCACTGCCATTTTCTCGGCACTCGCACACATTTTGCCACTTATACAACTACAAATGATGCAGCACTGGGTGCTTTTCAAATTGCCCCACTCTGTGATGCTTGCATGTGTAAAAAGGCCCAGTAATCCAGGTAAGGCCTACAGCAGAAGAATCACTTCTCTGGTTTTGTAAGTGATACTTCTGTTAATAAACCCAATATGCTTTTGGCTTTTTTTGCAACAAGAGTATGCAGTTGGTTCATATTAAGCATAGGGTCTACTGTGACCTCCCAGGTCCTTCTTTGTACTAAAACAGCCTGTCCATTCCCCAGTCTATATCTGTATGCAATTATTCTGTCCCAAGTGCAGAATTTTGCACCTGTCCTTGCTGAATCTCATCTAATTGATTGTGGACCATTTCTTCAGTCTATCTAGATCATTCTGGATCCTAGCCCTATACTCCAGAATACATACAACTCCACCCAATTTGATGTCATCTGCAAATATGCTAAGTGTGCATTTGATCCCATCTTCCAAATTGTTAATGAGATATTAAACAATTCTGGTCGAAGGACAGACCCCTAGGAGCTCCAACAGGCCATTGATGACTACTTGTTGAGTACAATGAACCAACCAATTATGTATCCACCATACAATTCTTTTGTCTCTAGTCTGTTTTTCCTTAGCTGCTTAATGAGAATGTCATGTGAAACAGTGTCAAAAGCCTTGCTAACATCACTGCTCTCCCCTTATCCACAGAGCCTGTCACCTTATCACAGAAGGAAATCAGGTTGGTCGGGCCTAATTTGCTCTTAGCAAATCCATGCTGGCTGTATCTGATCACCTTGTTTTTCTCTAGGTGTTTCACAGTGAATTCCTTGAAGACCTGTTCTATGATCTTTCAGGGTCAGGCTGACCAGCTGACTTTTTTTACTTCCTGTGCCAACTGCATCTCAAATCATGGCTTGCTATCCTATTGCCTTCCTATTTTTCTTCCTGCATACCCATGTAGTACTTATCCAAAGTTTTCATTTTTCATAAGATTACTTTCTGAGCTGCAACTCATTTGAGAGATTGCTGTCTAGCTACACTGGTCTCCTGTTACGCTTCCTATTCTTCCATCACATGGCGATAGCTTGCTCCTGTGCCTTTAAAGTACAGCCAGCTCTACCTAACTCTTTTTTCCCTTTAAGCTTTCCTCCCAAGGGATCTTGCCCATCTGTTCTCTGAGTTTGTTAAAGTCTGCTTGTCCAAAGTTCAGTGTTTTTATTATGTTGCTTTCCTTCCTTCCTCCCCTTAGAATAACGAACTCTTATCATTTTGTGGTCACTATTACCCAAGTTACCTTCCACTATTCGTCCCTGGTTATGAGCAGTAAGTCAGGAAGAGCTTCCCCCTAAGTTGTCCTCAGCAGAGTCCTCCATTTCCCAGTAGAGAGTTGTTCTCTCTACCAAAAAGCTGTCCCCAACACACTTCAGGAATTTGCTGGACTGCTTGTGCACTGCTGATTTTCCCTCCCAGAAGTGTCCTGATAATTCAAGCCCCCCATTAGAACCAAGTCCTGCTCTTTTTCTTGGAGAGAGATACTGTTTTTTTACTTGGAGATCTTTACATTAATAAATATTTAGAGGAATTAGGTAAATATTAACCAGGTATGGATTAGAAATGTGTTGACAATCAAGAAATAGAAGGTAGTTATTAATGGCACTAATAGCAGGTTTTGAACAGCGATGAATATGGTATAACGCTGATGGGAGTTCAAGAGTGCCGTGTTTTTTGTGAAACAATAACACTTTGATGCTGGTGGTGGCAAGGAGAGTGGGACTGATGAGTGCTGGCAACTTAAGTGAGATTGCTCTGCTGAGAACTTGCCATAATTTGTTTACATGTTGTTCCAATTTTTTTCATGTATTTTGTATTTAAGAACCTGTATAAGTTTCTCAGTGAGGCAGTTTCCTTAACATCTACCTTGATGCCTTCCTTGAAAAAAAGACCTCCAAGATGTTCTCAATGTGTTATCAAACGAACAAAATACACAGATCATGGAAACTATCCAGTCATTCATTTCATTGACAGATTTGCAGAGCTAAATTTGCTTCTGGAGAGTAGTCACAAATTAAAACACACAGATGATGAGTGGTTCTGGCACCCAAACTGTGATCAAGAGGACACTCTTGTCTGAAAAGATGTACCTTATCAGATTAATCATTATGCATTAATTAATTTGAAATTAAAAGGGTGTCTTCTACCATCCATACACAGGAAGTTAATGATGATAACTGGAATTAATAGTAATGGGAGTTATATCCCTGCCTCTCTAGATATAGGGGCTTTACCTTGTGTGACCATTTACACCATTGCAAAGCATTTTAGAACCAGTGCACAACATTGGTTTAAAAAGTGATTCAAGGTGTACAGTGTTAAAGAATCAGGCCAAAGGATTTCAAAGTTTGAGAATGAGGTCAGTGAACTCAAGATATATTTGAACTTTTACCTTTATTCCCTGACATGGCATGTCATAGCCCTCTTCTGCTATTTCTGCTGGAAGTGGTCAGAATAAGAAAAAAAGTGACTCCCTCTCCCATCCCTCTTGTAACTTTCTTTCTTTGACCCTCTTCCTACTTTGAAAGCATACCTAGTGGCAACTTCTGTGCAGGTGGTAGACTCAGGTAGAAAGCTTTGCCTTCAAGGGTTCCCATGGTTTAATTGAGCGGAAGGCTGTGTGTGGCCTCACATGGATGTAAAAGGAAGTTAGATCCCTCTACCTAATGCACAATCATACAATCCGTAGAAAATGGTTTGGGTCTACAGGGGTAAATGAGCTACACACCTGCTACTCCTTCCACCCCCTGCCCAGGTGAGCAAGACAGGGAGGCATGACTCTGTTTACCCACTGCAAACTTGGACAGAGCAGATCTTCCAGAAACTGCTGTGTTTCCAAGGGAGGTGGCAGAAATGGGGTTGGGAGACGATATTAATCCAGATTATCTTCACTCGGAGACAGTCAAATGTCTCTTGCTATGAGGAATGTTTCATTAACTTCCTTTACTGAATGCAAGGTCTTGGATTGTACATAAGGTGTGAAAGTATGAGGAAAAGGGTTACTTTGTTTTTCTTTCCCCCCCACACCAGTATTCCCTTTCTTTCATGCACCTGCATATGACCTGGCAGTATGAGGAAAAAGGATTTTGAATGGTCACACAAAATGAACTAGTCTCCCTACAAAACTGGACAGAAACCTGCTGGCAGTGCAGAATGGGGAAGCTCACAGTGCCAAAGCTTGCCCTTGTCCTGCCCTCTGCAGAGGACATTTTTGTCCTCAGTCCTTTCAGGGCTTCATGTGGTGCTTTTCAGAGGCATTTGAATCACCAAAAAATAGGAAAGAACTCAATAGATCCAAGAGATCAGGCAAACCAATGTTAGATAAATGAGTAAAAAATAATGGTTTCAAAGGACATTGAGTTTCCCGTTTTATTTGCCCTAAGAATATCCACAAAAGAGAGAAACAAAGGGGTTTTTAATATCTCTTTCACAGACATAGCCTTGTATACTACTGCCTTTTGTTCCAGGTTGGGTTTCTGGGCTATCATTTGCAACTATAAGAGAATAAATTTAGAGCTCTCAAGGTTTTGAAATTAGAAACCTCACAGAACTGCCAGACACTTTGCTGGATTTCAGTTTAATGGCCCAACTTAATTTTGGGGATATGTTGGGATTCTTTGGGGAAGTACTGAAGATGGAAACCAGGTGCCCTAGCAAATCTACGTGAGTAACCTTTCCTGGTGCCTGCTGACTTTTGCTTTTCTCAAAGCAGTATTCTCATTGCCAAACAAAGTCTCCAAATTCATTTAAGAAAACAGAGCTTAATCCATGCCCCACTTCCTCTCCTTTTCTGTCTCGTGTGATAAAAAGTGCTTAAAAGCTGCTCTTATGGAGCTTAATCCACTTCTCTCTCTTAAAATCTTTGATGCAGTCTGGCCTCCATCTGTCATCTCATGCACATACACCAGAAAACAATCTTGTTGAAAATGTGATTAATAACTGCAGGGATCTTTGTTGGAACATTACGTTACAGCTTCATTGGAATGTGCAATCTGAATGGTAGCGTTTGGAAAGATTAGTGCCATGGTATCAGGCTCGCTTTCCATTGCAAGTTTAACTTATGATTGCTGGGCTGCACTGTGGAAGAAGATGAAAAGTTGACCCATACCAGGATTAGTAGGCAGGAAAGTGGTCATTCAGAGCTAAACACAGATGTTTAAAAATTCTGTTTTTGAAGACACACACATATAATAAGGGACAGTCTCTACCCCAGATCAATTAAATGTTAAATTGTTAATACATTTGGGAGGGAGGAAGGAAACATTATTATATTCACGTCACAGACAGGGAACTTAGATGCAAGAAAATGAAGTGACCTGCCCAAAGGTCACACAGAAACTGAACCAGGTCTCCAGAGTCTCAGGCCAGTGCCTGAATCACACAAACAAACCAGAGGGCTCTTCTACCTGGGACAAAAGAAGTGCTCTGTCAGTAGGTTGTCATAATGTGAAGCAACTATCATTTGTAAATGGTATCAAGTATTTTTTCTTTGTATGTGTTTTCTTAGCTCACAGACTTGCATCTTGAAATGGCTTCAGAATCTCCCTGTCATGAGACCAGGAGTAGCTTTGAAATGAAGAGAGATATCTTGCTATCCACTAAGACATCATGGATTCACCTGGATGAAGATATTCCAACTCCAAATGTAGCAGACAACCCTCTTGGTGAGCTCTGGGAACAGCATTTTTGGGATTCCTAACAGGCCTTTTTAACAGAGGATAATGTTAGTTTTTCTTGTGCTGTAGTGACTGAACTGGTGACTCATCTGTCATTTACACTTTGTTCTTTCACTAAGTCTGTCTCATTTTTCTTTTTGCTCTTTTGTTCTTGCCCACAGAGGTTCCTATGGAATCTGTGCACCTGTTTGTATTGCTATTCAAATGCTAAATATGCATAGCTCCATTGTTTCCTTAGGCCAATTTATACTTCATAGGTGTTAGGTGTGTTAGCTGATAGTCAGTGTAGTGCTGGAAATTGTGATTTCTTTCCTCTTTACTAAATAGGGGGAAATCACTAATATGTTTCACAAAACTTCGGGGCTGGGGAGGTTGTCCATTTTTATTTTTATTCGAGTTCTCTCAGTTATAGAACACACTATTCAGCATGTGACCATGTGAAAACTTCCAGAAAAAATACCCTTCTTGTGAACTTTAATTCTAACCCTCAGAACCCCTACTATTATAGTCCAGGCTCCCAGTTGAGCAGAAATTACCAGTTTAAAATGATTAAATAGCTTTGTGAAGTGATAGAAGTAGAACAGAGGCTAGAAGAATACTAGCAAGCCCATATTTAGAATCATAGAAAATTAGGGCTGGAAGGGACCTCAGGAGGTCATCTAGTCCAACCCCCTGCTCAAAGTAGGACCATCCCAGCCAGGGCTGTGTGTACCAGAGTCTTAAAAACCTCTAAGGAAGGAGATTCCACAACCTCTCTGGGTAGCCTGTTTCACTGCTTTACTAGTGAGAGAGTTTTTCCTAATATCTAACCTAAACTTCCCTTGCTGCAACTTGAGACCATTGCTCCTTGTCCTGTCATCCGCCACCACTGAGAACAGTCTAGCTCCATCCTCCTTGGAACCACCCTTCAGGTAGTTAAGGGCTGCTATCAAATCCCCGCTCAGTCTTTTCTTCTCCACACTAAACAAGCCCAGTTCCCTCAGCCTCTCCTCCTAAGTCATGTTCCCCAGTCCTCTGACCATTTTTGTCACCCTCTGCTGGAATCTCTCCAATTTGTCCACATCCTTTATGTAGTGGGGGGACAAACCTGAACATAAGACTCCAGGTGTGGCCTCATTGGTGCTGAATAGAGGGGAATAATCATTTCCCTCAATCTGCTGGCAACACTTCTACTCATGCAGCCTAATATGCTGTTAGCTGTGCCCTAAACTGGGATGAGATGTCCACTGCTCTTATAGAGACTTCTGAAAGCTACATTCATTGTCACCTTTTCACATTTGCTGTTCACTGACTCATTTTCAACATACAAATCAGTCTGGCACCATTGATGATGATAGCGTGAGCCTCTGCAGAGATAGCTCCCACTTTATCACACATCTAGCTGGACCACATTGCAAATTCACCCTTCTCCCACTTGATAGGAAACTTCCATCTGACAGAACTGCACAGTCCTCCTAAAATGCACAAATGTTTGACAGATATTCAGCCTATTCCCTCAATGGAGTTGAATCCCCACACAATAGTTTGCCTCTAGCTTGAATTTTGAGGAAGTTGGTGGGTAGAAAGTGACTGTAGCTAAGAACCTGAAACAGATGTCTTCACAGAGGTCTAGGCTGTTCCTTTGAAGGCACAGTTGGGCAATGGGGAACTGAATGTGCAGGATGAGCATGTCCATCTTATGTTATATAGTTTACTCTATCCAGCACACCAATCCTATTCCAAGGGCAAATGTGGAAGAACGGGGGTGAACACAATTAACTCCACCTTCTCCTTGTCCCTTTGCGAGGAGGAAGTACCGGCACTCTCACAATGCATCCTATTTCTTATTAACATTGCCTGAAAATAAAGATGGTGCCCTTCACTCCCAGCATCACTGAGCGTCCATGTAAGAGTTGAGTCTTCTAATAACTAATTGTTTTGTTGGTGATTTAAGACTGTTTGTAACCTAAAGATGTACATTAGGGCTGTGTGAAATGACACCATTCTATTTTGACTTGTGTTTTGACAGAACAGCGTTTCATTTCAAATTTTGTTTTGATTCAAAACCGCTGTTCTGTTTCATTTCCTCAAAACAGTTTCGCCGTTTCGACACTGTTTCGTCCATAGGCTATAATGGGGAAGCTTAAAACAGACTATAACTTTGTAATTTCTGGTCTGATTTAGATTAAACTTGCAAGAATAGTAGTCCCTTCTCAGATCATGAAGTCTGTCAAGTTTCAAGGAGATAGGTGCAGGGGTTTCAGGGAAATTACACCTCAACATCTTAAAAGCAAAAAACTCATGTCACGTGTATATGTTAAGCCACAGCAGGGTCAAAACTGCAAGGATACTAACCCCTGCTGAGGCCACAAAGCCTGCCAAGTTTTAAGGGGATGGGTGCAGGGGTTTGGGGGAAACTGCACCTCAAGCTGTGGACAAGCAAAACTCATGACATGGGTGACACTGCGTGTTAAGGCGCAGCAGGGTGAAAGCTGCAGGCATGCTGAGCCCTGCCGAGGCCACGACGCCTGCCAGCTGTCAAGGGGATTGGTTCTGGGTTCTGGGGCCTGCACCTCTGGCTGATGACAGGCAAAACTCGTGTCATGGGTGCTTGTGGGACTGTGTCTGTCTTGGGGCACAGGGGGGTGAAAACTGTAGGCCTGCTAGGCCCTGCTGCAGCCATGAAGCCTGCCAGCTCTCAAGGAGATCGATGCAGGGGTTCTGGGCCCTGCACCTCTAGCTGCTGACAGGCAAAACGCGTGACATGGGTGGGTGACACTGTGTATGTGTTAAGGTCCGTCCTCCCTCATCTGACACCAAGGCAGAAGGTAGGGCAGTCCAAACAATGTTGCCTTTTATGCAGGTTTTCCATCCCTTCCCCAGAGCACTGGGATTGGAAGGGACCTCAGGAAAAGATGACAGTCACTGGCCAGCTACATGGTCAATAACGAGACCGGTCCTCCCCCCCTCCCCCTCCCTCTTCTCACTTAAGTTTCTGTTTCCCGGCAGGCAAGCCCAGCTTGAGCTTCGAAATGTGAAACGTTTTGAAAATTTTGAAATGATTCAACTTGCCTCGTTTCATTTCGAGGCTGCTTCGAAGCTTTCTGTTTCATTTTGATTTTACTGTTTTGAGCTCAAAATGAGTTGACACAGCATCAAAATGAAACTGCTGGCGAAATTTTGCACAGCCCCAATGTACATGGTTCCAATCTCCACACTGAGGAACAAAAAACATTGATATGTATTAGACTTTCATTGTAAGATTTTTAGTGATTAAATAATTTTGAGCTTTCTGTGAGAGACTTGCTTTGACTTTGTATTCCATTCTTGGCTTTGCCACAGACTTCCTATGTGCTACTTTTAGTATGTCACTCCATTGCTAACTCCTCTGTCTCTGAATTAAATAGAATTAACCTTCTGTTAATAATTAATAACACTAATGAGCTTGATTTTTTTGCTATTTAATTTTTGTTTTCCTTCTTGATTTTAGGAAGAACTCAAATTACTAAAATAAAGTTATGGCCAGTATTTTTTCCCTAAGAGGACAGGGTTTGGGGTTTTTTTGCACATTCGAGGATGAATGGAACTGTTAAGTTAAAAATTCCAATGATGTGGTAAATTTATATAAATGAATTTGGTACCTTTATAGCCAACTTATTTTTCTTTTTTTAGAAGACTCTAAAGAAGAAAATATTCGTCACTGGTTGAATTCTGGTTTCTTGTAAGTTTTTGGTTATAATACTTAATGCATATTTGTTGCTATGTCAGCTTACCCTCATACACTTACTTACTGCACTAGTAAAGCTATGTTTGAATGTATTGGAATGATTTTCCAACAGACCATGCAGTTTCTACAGCACTGAAGTTGTCTTCAGAAATTTCACTATTTTTTATTTATTACTGAGTGAAATATATAATACATTTCTTTGGAGCTGGGCTTGACCAGAATAGAGCACTGGCATTTTGCTTCAAAGCCACTGAACATTACAGTGCATTTTCTAGCATAATCCTTTGCCTCATGGGGGTTGTAGATCAGCTTCTGTTCAGCTTCATGACACTCCCCTAATGTAATCTACCCCAGTGCCATGGTACATTATAGGTCATATAGGCATATCGCCTATCGAGACTACTCCGTGGTGGAAAGTGATGGCATCATGCAACCTAACTAAAATCCCTCTTCTCTTACATTGCACCACTACCATATCTGTTAAATGAGGCTTACCTCCTTGTTCAGTTTTTTTTACTGAGTTAATGTCTTCCTTTAAAACGCATCTTGCATTTACAGCTTATCTACAAATGAAAACTTACAAGATAAAGAGGAAGCAGGTAAGACAATTAGAAAACCCAAGAGATCTGCTTTCATGGACAGTTTGTCAGTGATGATACATATTGTGAGTATATCAAATAGTATGCTAATAGTTGATAAAGATTTGGCTATTTGTCTCCCTCCAATGAAGGCTGGTCCTGCTTATACAATACCAAAAAGCACAGTTCTCCATTTTCCTTTCCCTTCCATTTAGAATCTTTCATCCATAGGTAAGCTCTTGATTCTTTTACTTCTTCCATCTTAATAAGAAGATACCAAAACTGAATGTGTTGCTAACTTATCAGTTCAAGGTAAATCACTGTCCTCCAGCATCCCAGCTGCCTTATGGCCTCCCTAGCCCTTCATTTCAAGGAGGCATGCTAGCACTTGGCCTGCACTTGCCGGCTCTAGTCAGGCGCTCAGCAAGTCCCATCCCTGGGCTGTCTCAGTGCCAAGCAAGCACAGCCTCTTT